GCAGTCTGAAAATAATCGAGACCAGACAATACAGTGATTGACATCATGAGAATCGATCCACGCAATTGGGATACGGTGACATGCATCAACCAAGTCAGCTAGCCTGACATGATCCCGTTAATCGCCTCATTTGAAGGTTGCTGAAGAACTATTCTAACCCAGATCTTTATGGGTCGTGAAGCTTGTGAGTACAGCTGACATCATACGAACCATGGCAGAAGCTATTCTTCATGCTCAAGCACATGATTGTATACAATGTATGATGCTTGGAGGACTGGAACAAAATAAGATACTATTAATAATCCCCCAGAACATATTGTTATGACACCAAGTGTTGCAAGTGAAATGTGTTTCAAAACACATGTTCATATCGCAATGACGGAATAGTCAGCTCCTGTGCGAGGACCAGTACTGATCCGAATTTGTGAATTCCTTGAATCTTCCATTGACTTGTTCTTAGATAGTAATTTGCTAAGTACTACTATCTGCTCTCCAGGAACATCACGCCACTTGACCACGGCACTCGCGGAACAGTTGCAATGTTGTGCCCTGGTGGAAACCAGTTTTGGGATCTCAAGTGTATACACTCAGGCATGCCTGTAGGCCTGCAGGATTGTTGCTCTCAATCATAACGACATGGTGTTCTTGCAGACCCCTGTCTAGCTGTTATGCGCCAATGGAAGAAACAATCGTTGCCTTGTGACTTTAAGGTAGCATATAAAGCCTGGATTGGAATGTTACAAGCCAATTGTGTCCTCATGTCAAAGGTAAGGTGATGAGATAAATTTCCAATGGTGGATGCTCTATGAAGAGATCTCCTGAGTGTCGTTTTAGTTGATGAAACCAAAGCTATCTTGGCCAGGATGGGGCGACCAACAGAGATTGATTGCTTGTGTCTCCCTAATCTCTTACCTGGGTAACAGTCCTGGATATGAGAGGACTTAAGCAAGAAGGCCTAACCACGAGATTGCCAGTATGTTGTGCTCCCACGCCAGTTGCGCAGGGATTTGCGACACAAATACTGGACGCTGGTGATTGAATATAGTGGAAAAGAGATCGTAGTTGCGTCTGTCCAGATTTTGCCACTTCAGTTGGAACAGACAGGTATAAGTTTCCATTCTATTGGCGTTGAATGTCACGTTGGTGGCATTTGGGAGATGACTTCTGGCCTCCAGTGGCATCTTGACTCGAGTGTGTTGATGCTATCTTGTTAAGGTAGTGATCCCATGTGGAGTTGTTCATGGAGACAGGAACCTTGGTGTTGACCTGGTCGATCTTCCATGATGTGAATGCAAGTATGACTGCCGGAAATTCCAGGATTTTGATTGAAGTTATTTAAGTTGTGCTTCATGTGCATCTTGTTGGAAGTGAGGTGAGGTGAGGTGAGGGGAGGTGAGGTAAGATGAGGTGAGGTTTAACGTGGTTTGAGTATTGCACTTACATAGATACATGCACGCATGTGTGTGCGTGTGTGTGCTTATATGTGTGCTTCTGTATGGGGACTTGTACTAGCCCTGACTAATACCTGTTTTATAGTGCAAGCCCACAGAGATACCATGCTGCAGTTTAACTGGGGTACCCCACTCAGACAGTTCATGCCGAGCGTTAGCCTGGGTAACACGTTTCACATTTTTGCATCTTTCTTGGTTTGATACAGCCGGGCGATCGAACCACCAACCTCACACTCTCCAGGCAGATTCCCTAACCACTAGACCATGGAGGCGGCCTGCATATTGTTGGATGACCTTTTGGCAACGTATTCTTTTTGTGAGAACAACTTGTCTTGAAAATGGCAAAAAAATATAAATTTCATAAATTCATCAATTGCAAAATCCAACAGTTCAATAATTGCGCATTTTGTGAAGAAATATTAAACCGTTTATGTGTTATGCTCCAGAAATGAAACGTGATGGCCAGACGAAACCCGTTTCTATATCCCCGCTAAATATTTTGTTTGTTTAGACAGGGCATCCTAAAAACGAATCGATTCAATTCGAAAATGTGGAAGTTGGACATTGTATGTACTTACATATCAGGATAATTTCCACCTCTATGTACTGTCCATGACAACCATAGGCCTTTACAGAGACCTTTTCCTTTATGTCCTTCAGTTTACCATATGTCAGAAAACAGAATGTTGAAATGGTTGTCGCAGTGCGAGCAATAGCATATACAGTCAAGGAAACAAACAAGTAGTATTATATGGTATGGTATCCAAATATACAGAAGAAGACTGACTTTTTCGAAAGATTTGAAGCTAAAACATCATCCAATGCAGAAAAACAAAAATGTAAATAACACAAGAAAAAAATATAAACAGCGCCACGGCACTGTAGCTCACCTAGGGGCCTTTCGAAGTACCATGAGGGACTTCCCAAGCAACATGAGATACTTCCCAAGCAACATGAGGGACTTCCCAAGTAACATGTGTCTTCCTTAGTAACATGAGGGACTACCCAAGTAACATGAGGGACTTACCAAGTAGCATGTGTCTTCCCTAGATAATGAGAGACTACCCTAGTAACATCAGGGACTTCCCTAGTAACATGAGTGACTTCCCAAGTAACATCAGGGACATCCCTAGTAACATCAGGGACTTCCCTAGTAACATGAGTGACTTCCCAAGTAACATCAGGGATATCCCTAGTAACATGAGGGACTTCCCTGGTACTATGAGGGGATGCTGTGGGTCTTCCCTAGTAACACGAGGGACTTCCCTTGTACTATGAGGGGACTTCCGATGTAACATCAGGGACGTCCCAAGCAACATGAGGGACTTCCCAAGCAACACGAGGGACTTCCCAAGCAACATGAGGGACTTTCCAAGTAACACGAGGGACTTCCCTAGTAACTTGAGGGACTTCCCTTGTACTATGAGGGGACTTCCAAAGTAACATCAGGGACTCCCCTAGTCATATCAGGGACTTACCAAGTAAAATGAGGGGCTTCCAAGGTAACATGAGGGACTTACCAAGTTGCCTGTGGGTCTTTCATAGTTACATGAGGGACTTTCCTATTACCACGAGGGTCTTCCTTATTAACACGAGGGACTTCCCTGGTAACCTGAGGGACTTTCCCAGTAACAAGTTAGGTGAGCTAACAAACTGATTAGTTTGAGTACCAATATGTCATATACATAAAATCAAATATATACATCTAAGCAAATTAAAAAAAAAAAAATACAAACAAATATACAATCAATTATACATGGGCTTCAATGCATCTGCAAGGGGCAATCTGTATGATTTAGGATGCTGCAGTGAGCTTTACAGTACTAGTTATATCCTTGACAGTCTGTATCATGTTATATGTAGGGTAATGGCCAGACATCGGTTGTTTAAAACACCATCGCAATACTATACATTTTAAAAAAAACGAGATAAAAAACTATACATCAGAGTGGTCCTGTCAATGTCTGTTTTAAGCTGTGTGTTTACTAATTGTCAACTGGTACGTCTGTCATTTTTTTGTGAATACCATCCTGGAAATTACTGTCAGATGTTGAGTTTCATTGTGGAATGAATGAGGAATGACAGCGGGTGCTAAATCCTATTGGTTTACAAATGTTGCTAATGGGATTGAATACTGGAATATTTAGGGACTTTTCACAGTATATGAATACGTTTCTCGATAAATACATTTTTCTTTGAAATACAAATAAAACAAAAATCAGTAAACGATAACAATAACCTCAGGTTGAAATATACCATTTAAACTGAAGCTTACATAATGCTCTCTAGAATGTTCAAAATATGTTTGGCAGTTCATTTTGGACAAAATGAAACACATGATCGTATTACAAAGTTTAGGGACACCAAACAGCCCACTTTACTACACCTCTTGTCTTCACTAACACCAAAGATGTTACATCATGTTGTCATGCTAGAATATATCTAATATTCTGTTTTGAAATGCCTATATGAATACATAGCTCTGCATTGAAAGCACAGTATATTTACCACCAAAATATTGTTTCAAGCAACAAACTGACTCACTCTAGAGGTGTCTTATATTTTCTTGTTTTGTATCAAAGTCTGTATTCAGAAAGCCTGCAGTGTACAACACAGTGGAAACATATACAGCAATGAGATGAACATAACATGAAACCAGGTGTTGACATCACTTGATCCCAGTTGTATTGAACCCAATATTAGAATCAAACCCCCCATAAGATGTATTAAAATGTACATAAGAAAGAAAGCATGACATGAAATGTACATAAAAAATACTAGCTTCAACTCCAAGAATGAGTGAGTATGGTTTGGCACCATTTCAGCAATATTACAGTACTATCACGACAGGGGACACCAGGAATTAGTTTCCCATATTGTACCCATGTGGGGAATTGAACCTGGTCCCTGGCGTGACAATCTGTTACAACCACTAGCCTGCCCCACTAACCTTAAGGGTGAAAGTCCATATTTACATTTAAAATAGAACCAACTACGTGTAGTCAAAATATATTTCTTTTGATGGAGTCTAAACTTAAATGTACTCAAATATAGGCATCTGTGGTTTCTGACCAATATAGTTCTGACCATTTTTTTCTAAATAGTCTTAACGTCTAATACAATAAACTTAAAACAAACATATTAAAATTATACAAATTGTTTTAAAATAACTGATATTTCTGGAATTGTCGTCTTAAAGATTTCATGTTATTTCAATCATTTGAATGGAACTTATCATTCAATTGAGTCAGGCTTGTCAGAAGATGCGGGTTGAGGACAGGATTCATCTACTGCATCAGCCAGATGGCGTGCTGTTGTTGACGTTGCACTTGCAGTTTCTGGCTTCTCAGTAGACGATGGTTTGGGACTGGATTCGTCTTTTGCCTCATTAAGGTGGCGTGATGTTTCTGACGTTTCATTCGAAGTATCTGGCTTCTGAGTAAACGATGTTTGACGACTGGATTTGTCTTCTGTAGCAGTCAAGTAGTATGGTGTTGCTGACGTTCCACTCGCAGTATCTGACTTTTCAGTAGATGAGGGTCGATGACTCTATTCGTCTTCTGTATCAGTCAGGTAGTATGGTCCTGCTGACGTTCCCGTCGGAGTATCTGGCTTCTCATAAGAGGATGGATGGGGACTGGATTCGTCTCCTGCATCAGCCAGGTAGTGTGGCGTTGACGATGCCGTCGGAGTATCTGGCTCCTCGGCAAGTGATGGTTGGGGACTGCATTCATCTCCTGTATCAGTAAGGTGATGTCGTGTTGTTGAAGTTGCACTCGCAGTATATGGCTTCTCACTAGATGATGTAGCAGTCAAATAGTATGGTGTTGCTGACGCTGCACTCGCACTATCTGGGGTCTTGCTAGATGAGTTTTGAGGACTTGTTTTGTCTTCTGTAGTTGTCAGGTAGTATGGTGTTGCTGATGTTGCACTCGCAGTATCTGGCGTCATGCTAGATGAGAGTTGAGGACTGGTTTTGTCTTCTGTAGCAGTCAGGTAGTATGGTGTTGCTGATGTTGCACCCGGAGTATCTGGCTTCTTGCTAGATGAGGGTTGAGGACTGGTTTTGGCTTCTGTAGCGGTCAGGTAGTATGGTGTTGCTGATGTTGCACTCGCACTATCTGGGGTCTGGCTAGATGAGTTTTGAGGACTTGTTTTGTCTCCTGTAGCGGTCAGGTAGTATGGTGTTGCTGATGTTGCACCCGGAGTATCTGGCTTCTTGCTAGATGAGGGTTGAGGACTGGTTTCGGCTTCTGTAGCAGTCAGGTAGTATGGTGTCGCTGATGTTGCACCCGGAGTATCTGGCGTCTTGCTAGATGAGGGTTGAAGACTGGTTTTGGCTTCTGTAGCAGTCAGGTAGTATGGTGTTGCTGATGTTGCACCCGGAGTATCTGGCGTCATGCTAGATGAGAGTTGAGAACTTGTTTTGTCTTCTGTAGCAGTCAGGTAGTATGGTGTTGCTGATGTTGCACCCGGAGTATCTGGCTTCTTGCTAGATGAGGGTTGAGGACTGGTTTTGTCTTCTGTAGCAGTCAGGTAGTATGGTGTTGTTGATGTTGCACCCGGAGTATCTGGCTTCTTGCTAGATGAGGGTTGAGGACTGGTTTTGTCCTCTGTAGCAGTCAGGTAGTGTGGTGTTGCCGATGTCACACTTGCTGGTTGTTGGTTCCCTGGTTGGGGATGAAGGGCAATGATGGCTTGGCCCACCTCTTCATAATCATCATCAGAACTACTGGAATTGGAAGCTCGTCTTGGACCAGGAAGGTTGCCTTGTACCTCAGAGTCATCTATATCCGCGTAGACATGGTAACCGTCATACCATACTTTTCCTGCTGACGCTAATGCATCTCGTATAGGGGAGAGGTAGGAGGAGACAGCCCTGATGACAAAGAGGCATTTTGATGTTCATGCTACACGTATGTTAATAACAAAATAGAAGTAGTTATCGTTTGCATAAATGTGACCTGAGGAATGTTGATGCATTGGATATGAAACAAAAAAGTCAAATGCTACAACTTTTGATGTTGCATGTTAGCCATCTTCAACGTGTATAGCTCAGTTGCAGTAGTAAGGAGACTCACTGTGTTATTTGACAAAGTTACATCTTGATAACATTCAGTAATTTCTTTTCATCACAAAAAGGTGAACAACAATGATTACAACATTCGAACACCAAATGTATCTCAGATATGCAATGTTGTAAGCGCATTAATTATTGGGGGCGGTCGGGTAGCCGTGATATTGCTGGAATATTGCTAAAAGCGGCGTAAAACCATACTCACTCACTCACGCATTAATTATTGACACATGTGACACACCTATTTGAACACATGCATCGAAATATGAAGTTGATTTTGTTCCTTGAATCACATTTTACGCAGTGATAGGTATTCGTAAACACAGCAGGTCTACAACCATGGTGGTTCGTGTGCAGCAAGGATGACACTATGTTTGTCAATGATTAATATATATGTATACGTCTGAAAGTGCTCACCTTCTTTCATGGGATTCTGTAAAATAATGAAAGATAGGTTGTCATTAGCAGTGCCAGTAAAAAAAAACACTCACTACAAGTCACATCAGTTGCTTATCTTAACATGTTAGATAGGTTTGCCCTGCATGCAAAATGAGCATCGTAAACTATCACTTTCATTTCATAAATATATCATACAAGGAATGAATATCAAGTATTTGGTCTACAAGAGTGTTCCGACATAGGAACCATCAGAGTGTTGGATTCAATACATGCATGATGTCCGGAAACACTCACTTTTCAGTCGTCCGAATGCCACAATAGCCACAGTGATGAAGACTGCAGCAATAAAAATTGTAACGGAGCTCGTGATGGCGATGATTGTGTTGGTCATAGTTGTACCTGCATGTACAGAAAACGGAAGTGGATAACATTGTCATTAGCAGGATGTCTTTCATAAACATATTTGAAACTCAGCGGTCATACAGGTGGTCGTTCATAATCACAGTTAACATTGGGATTGCAGTTGAGTGTTGTGACAAATTGTCGTAAGTTGGTCATGGCTGCGACAAGCAATCAATACACATTGAGAATTGATGCAAATAATTTACAATGTTAGTCGTGTGGTACAGATATAATGACTGTTTGAATAATAAAATGTATCAAAGTTGTAGATTGCATGTCACATATGTGTATAACTGACATTTCTGTTCTAATGAGCGATACACACAAAGCCTTTCGAGCATGTGTAACGATAGGTGTGACATCATTAAACTTATTGGACATCAAATGCCACTTGACGCCAGAACAGGACCCCCATGTTCAGGCTTTGGAGACCCAAAATGTATTATGTGGAGTTCCCAGGACACGAGTATAGACAGACAAAGGTGAATCCATGAGTGAGGAAATGTATATCTGTGTATAATAATGACAAAGGTGGAATACTATATATGAATAAAGTGTGTTACAATTTGTAATTATTAAACTAGGTTATATTTGATAATTCCTTAAATCCTTAAACATACATATTGCATACTTGCAGTAGACAGGGTTAATACCGGCCCTCACTATTGGTATGCTGTTGAACAGGCATCAGGGTCAAAAGTCATTCCACAGTAAGTCCATGGTAGTCTCAAATCTTAGTATTAGTCATTGATAGATGCCAGTGTTGCAAACATGTACGTAATTGAGTTGCATCGTTAAACAAGCATAACGTACTGAAGTCATATTGGGGAAGTTCTCATATTAGGATTTCAATTTGTGCACTGACCTTGGTCAAAAAGTTGAACAAAAAGCTCCAGTGTTCCTTTCTCATTGACGACAGAGAGTTTATAGGTTCCAAGGTCCCTCGTTTGCATTCTTGAGATGGAAAACTTGAACGTATAGAAAGGTTCACCCTCGTCCCTGGATAGTTTGTGTCGGGGGCTGTCCGACATATCTATGACATTGACGCCTTTGTCCAAGTATTCCATTATATGATTCTCTGGTTTCGGGTAACTGCAGACAAGAAATGTCCCCAAAACACTTTGACTGTCGTAGCTCATTGCAACATATTTGTCGGAGGAATCACACCTTCTTGGTTGTGCTGAAATTCACAAAGTACATGTATATTATCAAGGTAGCAAGCATCAGTTTACTGTGCAAGGTTCTCATACATACAGGTCAACCAGAAACGATCAGTGAATCTATATTACCACAATAGTTTAATTCTCTAACTACATCGTGGTTTTGATAGTTTTGAATACACATTTTTCAATATTTTCATATTGACAGTAACGGGGCAAACAATTTTCTTTTATATGATCTTGTATTTTCTCTAATCAAAATATGCCAAACAAGGGTAATAAATAAATTGTTGAACTTTAATAAAAGTTCTTATTAAACCTTCATAAATTTAACAACATATCAGCCATCTGAGATATTCATCAAAACGTAATCATTAAGGGCATTATGATTATCTCCCATTCTAATCTAACATCTATATCTCAAGCAGAAACTATATGCTTTTTCTTACATATAACATTGTTGATGGTGACAGTTTCCTTCCCTATGGTTCCACCGAGTGCATTTCTGGCTACACACACATACGTCCCAGTGTGAGTACAGTTGATGTCCTTGATGACCACGTCATGTATGCTGTTGGTTTCCTTCTGCTGAACATGTATGGATGGTGGTGGTGTGCCGTGTACGTCACACTGGAAACTCACAGTCTCATGTTCATGCACAGTAACATTTCTTTTTCCATTCACCGTTATGCCGATAAGGATTGGTCGGTCTGCAATAATAACATAGGCCTTGAGATATTGATAATTTACTTGTTCGTATATATACTGAACAACAAAAGTTCCTGTGACATTGAATATGATTTAATGCAACATGTTTATTTACTAAATCTAAAACAATTACGGTTTGAAACAGATAAAATACTCCTGTAAGTGTTCAAATGGTTTAATTTGCCATAATGACTTCAGAATATGCGTGATTTCATAAATAAACATGAACATGCCAAAATGTCAATTTACAAATCGATAGCGTATGTGTCCACCTCTGGTTGCGATGCAAGCAACACATATTCGTCTCATGGAAGGGACCAGTCGTCGCAGTCCTGTGGGATATCTGTCCATATCTGCTGGAGCATATTTCGAAGTTCCTGGAGTGTCTGTGGAACACGCGGTTGACATCGAAGGCGCCGATCTCCATCTCATCCCACATGTGCGCGATTGGTGAGAGATCAGGGGAGCCAGCTGGCCAGGGGATGACATTCACGTTGTTTTGTTGAAGAGAATCCAGCAATATGAGGCTGGGCGTTGTCATGTTGAAATGTAATGCCTGGGCCATGACGACGCAAAAACGGTCGGACAACAGGGCCGATGATCTCGTCGCGGTAGCGCTGTCCACTGAGATTTCCCACAACCACTATCAAACGGGTTCTCTGTCTTGCTGTAATCCCACCCCATACCATAACGCTGCCGTCCCCGAACCGATCTTCTTCCATGATACAATGATTGACGTAACGTTCACCTAGACGTCGGTACACTCGAATCCGTCCATCGCTGTGGCTGAGGTGAAAACGAGACGAATAGAAATTGTCCCCACTGCATGGCCGTCCAGCGTAGACGCTGTCTTCACCACTGTAGACGTGCTTGGCGGTGGTTTCCTGTCAAAATGGGACGTCTGGCGGCTCTTCTGGTGACAATCCCTGCACATCTAAGATGACGACGTACGGTTTATGAAGATATTCGTTGAAGGCCAGGGATGCTTCTTGCAGTCACTGTTGCTGGCTGAAATCGATTTGGTAGGTGTGTTGTTCGAATCCAGTTGTCTTGTCGATTATTGGTTACGCGTGGCCTGCCACTCCGAGGATGGTCTCTGACTGCATTCGTCTGTTGCCAAGGTTGCCATAAACACCAAATGGTGTTTCTGTGGACGTTAAATTGTCTTGCAACATCACGTTGACTCGATCCTTCTTCAAGCATGCCAATGGCTCGCAGACTCTCATTTTCGGACAGGCGTGGCATTTCGTAATGTTGAATAATTGCGTATTTTTGTTGTTTTTCAGATTAGTTGTCAGCACGATCCTAAACAATGCATATGGAATCCCGTTAACGCACATTTTTTTATACCCTTTCTTGGGTAGTGAAATGCATGGGGCTTGCATAAAAGTCAACTTTTGCATGTAATGCATGCGGTTTCTGTAGCAGTTGCGTTTTTGTGACTTGATTCCATACATGTACTACAATATGGGAAACCAAACTTTACTTGTTTGAAAAATACACTAAAATATTGGTGTCACAGAAACTTTTGTTGAGTATATATTTTAATGCCGCAGTCAGCAATATTTTACCTATTTATATATGACACTGGCCTGTGAATAATCGAGTTTGTGCCGCGCTAGGCAAGCCAGATATTATCTGTGAGGTTACACGACGACAAAATCAACTAAGTCACAGAAACTGACCACCTTATGCATTTTAATCAAGCAATACAGTAATGAGGATCCATTTTTACACAGGTCATCAAGAGGTAAATTTACATGTATTATTTAGAACATCAGATATTCATTATATTAGTATACACAATTTTGCAATGTCCCTTTTCACTTCGATTCTAGCACAGAACCCAAAACGTGCCTCTTCCACATCCGGGCCCATTCTTAAGTTCTCTTTCTAGTGGTAGTAGTAGTAGTAGTAGTAATAGTAGTAGTCGTCATTGTCACAATCACAGTCGTAGTGAGGTGAGATGAAATGGGGTTTTACGTCGCTTCCAAGATTATTTAACTTATATAGCGTCATGCATATACATGGTGAATCGTGGTTGCAGACGTGGAACAAACGTTAATATAGCGACGTGTATGTACGTGTGTGTGCGTATAAGTAGTAGTAGTAGTAGTAGTAGTAGTAGTAGTAGTAGTAAAGGACGAGCTACGACCACAGAAAGTTTTATTCCCGCCAATTTCTAAACAAAAGTATAATTCAATCTTTGGTTTTGCAGACGATTTCCCCATTATAATATAAGTAGAAAAAACAACAGAAACCAGTACTTGACCAGATATATTTATACAAACATCAGCATAAGAGTATCATATTGGAACGCCAATCCCATTGTTTGATGCGGGGTCTGCAGCTTACGTTTTCGGTAACCATCGATGACATTCCTCTGGATTAGAGACCTTTTATCAAGTATCACCTGTTCCATCCTCTATCTATTATGCACATGTGACGCCCGTAGGATAGGAAGTTCAAGTAGTAGTGAACAGCAACAATAGCGCAAGAATCCATCAGAATATTATTTGGGACTTATCTGTAAATCTTGAATGTTTAGCGAGCAGTAAAGTACTGCAAAATGTGTGAGTTAAACATAATCACAATAGTTTCATGACGCAGTTATTTTTTAAGACCAACAAGAATAACAAAAATGTATGAATGCATACTTCGTTTATTCACTTTCACACATTGTCAAACCAGCCACTAAATGATAAAATACATAATTCTTCACATACTATTTCCTTAATTACACATTGCCACTCAGTACCAATAGTCTAATCAGGAAACTTCACTGCTACATTTCATCAAGTTGCTTACATAAAACGGAGTAACACCAGTCAGTCTCCACTGTAAGATAAACAATCTACCCTTGTCATCTACAACAACACATCTATAGAAAAAAAATACACACCACTTCCTTCTTCCTAAAAATAACACATGCTAAAGTAGCTTTGATTTTTAGTAATCTCATCAACAAGATGTCGCAAAACTTCCCAGGTGCAGTTAAGGCTATTTTGAGACACTCACAATCATTTCATTGAGCAAAACTTTTCAGTTTCAGATATAACGTATGTGACACAACTGAAATATCTGTCAAACATTGACCAGTAGCATGTTATGCTGCATAGATGATCGGATTGAAGTCAAAGTCTAAGATTGAGTACCTCTGCAGCTCTTGATACATGACATGGAACATCTGCTGTGCCAACCCAAACTGGTACATCCTCCACAGAGATATGACTCGGATGGTAGTTAGCGAGAATGATGTTCATTTGCCAAAAAACATCTCTTGATGACATCTCCACTGAACAGTTGCAATCATCTATGCCAGGGCCCTGATTCCATGTGAACGTTGTGCCTGAGAAGGATCCAGTCATCCATGTTCGAATGCTAGCAGAATTGTCACCCTGAGCCAGAATGAAATGTTGTTCTAAATATCCTTGACGTTGCTCCCAGACGCCAGGATCAACCTCTTCATCTAAACTAATGTCCAAAAGAAACGATACCACGTGTTTGAAAGGACATTACAAAAAAACTAAAACGATACAGACATTTCAAATTGGTATATGACTTGTGAGTAATGTTTTCACAGTATGTGTACAAAACTTCATTGTAATCAATCCTTTACAATCATGAGGACAGACATGTAAAGACGCGGGGGGTCCAAAACGAGAATTTCATATGAACACAGTTGATGAGTCAAGTGTGGAAAATGTCACAACACACGTCTCAAAGTCACGTTAGTACCGGGTATGTCCACCATGAGCGTCAATACACGCTAGTACAAGTCTACGGGCTGATGACGTCAGACGTCTGATGACGTTAGGGGGGGGGGGGGGGAGGGGGGGATGCGTTGCCATTCATGAAGGAGGCATTGTTCCAATTCCTAGAGGTTAACTGGAGGCACAGGGCGATTCCTGACTTTGCGGCCGAGAATGTCCCACATGTGTTCGATTGGGTTCATTTCCGGTGAACATGCCGGCCATGGTAAAACGTTAATGTTGGCGTTTGCTAGAAAGTTCTGGGTCAGCCTTGCCGTGTGAGGCCCCGCAGTATTGTGCTGGAAAATGATACTATTAGGCTGTTGTTGGATGAATGACACCACAACTGGTTGTAAGATGTCATCACGATAAGGCTGCGCATTCAGGTTTCCTCGAATAACGACGAGTCTCGTTTTGCATCACCGCAGATTCCACCCCAAACCATTAAACCTCCGTCTCCATATGGCCTGACTTGATGGATGCAGTTCGGTGCCAAACGTTCACCTACTCTTCGGTACACACGCTGCGGGCCCTCGTTCCTGAAGATGCAAAATCTGCTTTCGTCAGAAAACATGACACGTGCCCAGTTCCAACGTTGCCAATAGCTGTCAAACGTGGCATTTCTTTTGTGTGCTTTTTGTTGCTGTGATCCCAACGTGTCGGGTCAGCAGTTTTCTACAGAAGATATGCACGTGCATTTCGTGTTACGGGACGGAACGTCATTTGGGCAAATTGCATGCTTTTTTTCTCAATTGATCAAATGTTCCCGGTTTTATCGACCGAATACTTTTGGTTTGGAACGTAGGATATGCAAAAGTACCTTTTCAGACGAAAATTAACTCTTCATCAAAAAATATTTAGAAAAATGTGTAGTATCGTTTCTTTTGGGCATTAGTTTACTTCCTGATAGATCTTGCCACGTCGGTCTCAGTGTATGAACTGGACATAATGACAAATCAACAATGTCGTCATGCACCAGTAATAATCACAGCATGGATATCATGAATCTTGGATCTGCCTCCCCTTTTTTGAGACAAAGTCCCACAGTGCAGTCACAAGGTATATCTGGTGATGTGACTCACGCTGTACCTGTTCCATTCCATTACTTTTGTGATTCTGCAGACACAAGGAAACTACTTCAACACTTGTCTCAAGTGATAGTGATAGTCACAGTCTTGAGATAAGGTGTCACAGTCAGTTTCTAATTCATAGTTTGAAAGCTACCTCTATTCCAAGATTGCGAAGAAATC